GTGTAGGTAGGGAGTTAGGAAGGGGATAGGTCAGTCCAGGGAGGACGGACAGGTCAAGGGGGCGGGATGAGGTTGGTCGGTAGGAGATGGAGGTGCGGCTTGGGGTGGGAGGAGGGGATAGGTGGGAGGAAGAACAGGTTAGGGAGGCAGGGACGAGTTGGACTGGTTTTGGGATGCGGTGGGGGGAGGGGAGATTTTGAAACTTGTGAAATCCACATTGATACCATTGGGCTGCAGGGTTCCCAAGCGGAATATGAGTTGCTGTTCCTGCAACCTTCGGGTGGCATCGTTGTGGCACTGCAGGAGGCCCAGGATGGACATGTCGTCTGAGGAATGGGAGGGGGAGTTGAAATGGTTCGCGACTGGGAGGTGCAGTTGTTTGTTGCGAACCGAGCGTAAGTGTTCTGCAAAGCGGTCCCCGAGTCTCCGCTTGGTTTCCCCGATGTAGAGGAAGCCACACCGGGTACAGCGGATGCAGTATACCACATTGGCAGATGTGCAGGTGAACATCTGCTTGATGTGGAAAGTCTTCTTGGGGCCTGGGATGGGGGTGAGGGAGGAGGTATGGGGGCAGGTGTAGCACTTCCTGCGGTTGCAGGGAAAAGTGCCGGGTGTGGTGGAGCTGGAGGGGAGTGTGGAGCGGACAAGGGAGTCACGGAGAGAGTTGTCCCTCCGGAAAGCAGATAAAGGTGGGGAGGGAAAGATGTCTTTGGTGGTGGGGTCGGATTGCAGATGGCGGAAGTGTCGGAGGATGATGCGTTGGATCCGGAGGTTGGTGGGGTGGTACGTGAGAACGAGGGGGATTCTTTTTTGGTTTTTATTGCGTGGACGGGGTGTGAGGGATGAGGTGCGGGAGATGTGGGAGACACGGTTGAGGGCGTTCTCGACCACCGAGGAGGGGAAGTTACGGTCCTTGAAAAACGAGGACAACTGAGATGTACGGGAGTGGAATGCCTCATCCTGGGAGCAGATGCGGCGGAGGCGAAGGAATTGGGAATAGGGGATAGCATTTTTGCAGGAAGGTGGGTGGGAGGAGGAGTATTCTAGGTAGCTGTGGGAGTCGGTGGGCTTGAAATGAATATCGGTTTCTAGGTGGTTGCCCGATATGGAGACAGAGAGGTCCAGGAAGGGGAGAGAGGTGTTAGAGATGGTCCAGGTAAACTTAAGGTTGGGGTGGAAGGTGTTAGTGAAGTGTATGAACTGTTCGAGCTCCTCGTGGGAGCACGAGGCGGCGCCGATACAGTCATCAATGTAACGGAGGAAGAGGTGGGGTTTAGGGCCGGTGTAGGTACGGAAGAGGGATTGTTCTACGTAACCTACAAAGAGGCAGGCGTAGCTTGGGCCCATGCGGGTACCCATGGCCACCCCCTTTGTCTGTAGGAAGTGGGAGGAATTGAAAGAGAAGTTGTTGAGTGTGAGGACGAGTTCGGCTAAGCGGATGAGGGTATCAGTGGAGGGGGACTGGTCGGGCCTGCGGGACAGGAAGAAGCGGAGGGCCTTAAGGCCATCTGCATGGGGAATGCAGGTGTAGAGGGACTGTACGTCCATGGTAAAGATGAGGTGTTGGGGACCGGGGAATTGGAAGTTCTGGAGGAGGTGGAGGGCGTGGGTGGTGTCACGGACATAGGTAGGGAGTTCCTGGACCAAGGGGGAGAAAATGGAGTCTAGATAGGACAGACATTTGAACAATTTATACCCATTTTACATGTAAGTAGTGACATGGAAAGAATCTCAGCAAAATTGAGTTTGAGTTTGAATTAATTGTCACATACCGTGATAAAGTGAAAAGGGTTGTTTTGTGTAGTATACAAGGCAGATCGTACCATACAAAGCACATCAGGATAGCAGAACATAGTTCAGAATATAGTGTTACAGCGGAAGAGAAGGTGGAGAGAGAGAGATCAGAAGAAGCTGTTCTTGAATCTATTCGTACGTGTATTCAAACTTTAAAAGCTTCTGAGCAATGGAAGAGGTTGGAAGAGTGTATAACTGGGGTGGGATGGGTTTTTGATTGTGTTTGTTGCTTTCTTGAGGCAATCGTATAAATCGTTTGATTTTATTACTTGAATAATAATGCTTGTAGCATAACTTCTAAAACAATGTAAAAATGTTTAAAGCCAAATAACATTTTTTCATTTAAAACTGTTCTGTATGTGTGTGGGAGAAAGAAATTTTTCTTGTAATAAGAAATAGGACACTGCATGTCTTGTTTATAATTAATTCCCTACTGAGGAAACTGCAACAAACTACAGTTTTGAAATATGCTATTTCTGAGAAATTGATCCAATTTGCACCTTATTAGTAATAGAGATTGGCAATCCTAGTTTGATGTTAATTGAGAAAATATCATTGTGATTGCTAAGATCTTGGGAAATAACACTCCCAAACCTAAAAAAAATTAAACTGCCATATAATGGAAGTATTAGCTTGTAAGCTTATTTGTATTTTTTGTTATTTGTTATTTTAGTGAAGAAGTAAGAATACAAACCACTTTATACTCACAGCTAATTTTCTGCTTACAGTAGTAAGCAAGAAAATGAATGCTATGATTAGTTGTAAATGGTAGTAAGTGAGAAAAAGGAAGGAAATAAGTGGTATGCATATGAACATTGTACATTTCTACATAAGTTCCTTTTCAAAAATCCCCTTTTGATTTCTTTTTTGTTAACCAATTTTTCCTGTTCTGTCAAGATGCCTCAATTTGAGTTAGAATACACTATAAATTTCCAGACCTCCTCATAGAGCAATCCTAATGCTAGTCAATTTGCAAAGATATTGCTTAATCTCTCAGCAGGTGAGGCTTGGAAGCCAGAATTATATTTTGCATTGCATTATCCAGTCAAGCATATTTCCTCCTTTTTCTGATCAATAATCTCTGGTTAAACAAATAATAAAAAAAATGACAACTATTTTGACAGATTACCTTTCATTCCGAACCTGAACGACATTCTCATATTTTTTGCGTAGCTGTATCATTTCCTCTTCAGCCTGGTTAATCAAAGAACTAAGTTTGACAATTTTTATCTTTTGGCCTTCTCTCTTTTCTCCCAACTCTCGGAGAACCTGGTCGATTTTGCATATTGCTCTCCGCAGGCTATCTCTGATGACATGACTGTTAGAATGCTTTAACTTGTATTTTTGAAGTTGGCTGTAATGGATATGAGATAAAGTCACACAGGTGAACACTGTAATATATTTTGGGTCACATTTAATATATGCACGAACATTAGAGATTACTAGAGAAGTCTACGGCGATTAACTGATTCATCAAAACGTGTCCACCATCTGTAAGACATATGTCGGAATGTGATGGAACTTGCCTGGATGAGCGCAGCTCTAACAGCACTTAAGAAACTCGACACCATCTAGGACAAAGCATCTTGCACGATCAGGATCTTAAGTCACCACTGTTAACATTCACTCTGTCCACCACCGACGCATGGTGGCAGTGATGAGTACTATCTTAGGTCCTTCAATGGCACCGTCATCACTGTCCGTTACACTATCTATTTTGCTGTCAACTGCAAACTTAGGAATCACGCCTCCTATATTCTCATCCAAATCATTTATGTAAATGATGAAAAGCACTGGACCCAGTACCGATCCTTGTGGCATACCGCTGGTCACAGGCCTCCTTGGGAAAGCAACCCTCTACCACCACTCTGTCTCCTACCTTCAGGCCAGTTTTGTATCCAATTGGTTAGCTCCCCCGGCTCCCAGGCGATCTAACCTTACTAACCATCTTACCACACAGAACCTTGTGGAATGCTTTGCTGAAGTCCATCTAGACAACGCTCTGCCCCCATCAATCTTCTCTGTTACTTCTTCAAAATACTCAATTAAGTTCGTGCAAAATGATTTCCCATGCACCAAGCCATGTTGACTATTCCTAATTGGTCCTTGCCCTTCCAAATGCATGTAAATCCTGGCGCTCATAATTTCCTCCATCAACTTACCCACTACTGGCATAAGGCTCACTGGTCTATTGTTCCAGTGAGCCTTGCAGCCTTTTTTAAAAATGGCATAACTTTAGTCAACTTCCAGTCTTCTGGTACCCTGTCTGTGGCTGTTGATGACACAAATATCTCAGTAGGGGGCCCAGAAATCTCTTCCCTAGCTCCGTACAAAGTTCTAGGAAACACCCAATCAGGTCCGGGGGTTTTATCTTCCTTCAGGCATTTTAAGACCTCCAGACGCTCCTCTTCTGCAATATGAACTCTTTCCAAACCATCATTATTTATTTCCCCAAGCTCCCTAACTTCTATGTCCCTCTCAACAGTAAATACTGACGTGAAATAGTCATTTAGTATCTCACCAATCTCCCATGGTTCCACACATAGACAGCCACGTTGATCTTTAAAGGGTCCCTATTCTCTCATAAGTTACTTTTTTGCCCTTAATGTACATATTGGATTCTCCTTAACACTATTTGCCAAAGCTATCTCATGTCCTCTTTTTGCTCTCCTGATGTCCCTCTTGAGTATACTCCTACTGCCCTTACACTTCTTTAGGGATTCACTTGATCCCAGCTGTCAATACCTGATATATGCTTCCTTCTTTTTCTTGTTCTAATGGTTAAAGATTTAATTACATAACTTGAAGTTCCCATGGTTGTCCTAATCAACATTCCTCATGCTGCTGCCATGAGCAAAAATTGATTATTTGGTCATTAATCCTTTTGATAATTATGTGTCATCATTAAATGCAAAATAGCAGCTACATTTCAAAGCAATTAATTGTATGTGAATTTATTCGAGATGCTATTAAATAAATCAAAAAATGCAAGGTAATTTTTCTTCCTTTAAGATAGTCAATGAAATAACATGGTCTTTGATCATTTCTTGAAATAAACTTGTAAGGAAAAGTCACATTACTGGAGAACATTGAATAAAAAAGGACAACTTTTCTTTCTTTCTTCATACTGAGAAACAACGTTATCAAAGTTGTAAAATAGTAAGTATCTGTGCATGGCAAGAGAGATAAAGGGCACAAATTATTTCTGTAAACATATGTTAGCCTTTGTCTGTTAAACTGTTAAATGAAAGTATATTTTTTAAATTTAAAAATGGAGTTGTGCACTTCATTTACATAGTACACTTTCCCATGGTTTAGAATTTTGGATTTACCTGTCTTTGAGCAGTGTAGTAGTCCTGAGAATTTCCATTTCATTCTGTAGAATTTTTATCTTTTCCCGCATTTCTGCAGATATCTGTGCTGCACTTTGTATGAGATTAACATATTTGTTTCTCTCATTTTTGATGGTCTGGTACACTTTGACAAAATTCTTTAGGCTATAACACAAAGAAAAACATTAACATTTTCCTTCACTTAAAATGCCATAATACCACTGTACTTATCTTGTAGAGAACTGGCATAGACAGTTCACAGGTCCTACTGTGCTTGAATGATTTAGTGATTCTATTTAAATATATACTGAAATTATTTTGACAATTGTTCTGTTTCCAAGAAAACTTTTGAAATATTTGGTTGAATGTGATGGTGACAATTTCCATTTATAGTAAAATACAGTAAAAGTATTTAGTAGAATACAATAAAACTATATTTATCCAACACACAGTGTGCAACTAGATCATTCCCATTGTATTTAATGATTTTTTCTAGCATGATTGGTCAAAGTTGTATTAAAAATTGGCTCAGATCTTCCAATAACTGTGCAATCTGCAATATGTTTACCCTGTCTCTGCAACCTGCTTCCAACAGCAGTGAAAGTTAAGACATTCACATCTCCTCTGTTCCCCCTCCCACACCCCTAGTTCATCCATCTCCCCTCACCCACATCCCCGGTTTAAAAGGAGTAGGGAGAATCCATTCAAATAATCAGCAACCACCACCACCTCCCCCACCACCATTCTTCTTCTACGAAAACAGATGTTTAATTTCTGCTTTGTTCTGTTTAGCCATTTTCCTGTTCATCACTATAAATTTTCTTGTCCCCACCTGTAATGGACCCACATGTATCCTTGCTAATTCTTTCACATTCACAAAACAATTAAAATTTTCAACAGTCCACTTGTATGTTCCCCACTAGCTTGCCTTCATATTCTCCTGACCCTTTCTTTATCAGTCTTCCTTTGCTGGGTCCTACATTGTTCCCAATCCTCAGGCCTAGCATTATTTCTGGGATCATTGTAAGCCACTTCCTTGGATCTTAAGCAATTTTTAACTTCTTTCATTAACCATGGTTGATCCACCTTTAACCATTGTTGGCTCACCCTCTATCATGGCCCTTCTGTCAACTTCCCATCCCCTCAGGCCCCTTTGTTCCACCATTGTTTGGAGCTCACTCAACGGAGGGAGTTGAATAGCACCAGGGATTGGGGAATGAGTGAAAATGAAGAATTAATTACCTCAAAACCACTTGGAACCACTAAACTGCAGGCATATCTGAAGAGTCATGTCTTCAGTTCATTACAACAAAGGGATGAAGGCTTCACTTCAGCTAAGTTTTGCAAGAAAACCTCCCTATTCATCAGGACAATTGATCAACGCTGTAGCCTAGAACAACATAATTTTAACATTGAAGCTCTTCCCAATGCATTGCAGCAGAAAGTTAATGTTGTCAGTATCTCCACTGTGCATCCGCACTGCACAGGAACTGGAAGCTGGTGCTGCTGACATTATTGTTGTGCACCTGTTGTTGTTGCCTGTTCCTCACTACCCCATTTCCGTGCCCTCAGAAACCAACGCGCCACACTCGCTAGCTGCTCCTCTTGGTAACTCACTTAACCATTCCCATGGTGATCTACTTGTCATTTGTTCAGGGAGTGAGCATCGATTGAGGTGGCAGGTAAGGAAGCAAGGGCTCTTTCTGAGATTTCCTCTGAGTGAATAATTTTGCAATTTGTTGAAGGTACACAGGCAACTATACTAAATGAAATTAATCATTAAGTATGAAACCATTGTGCAAGTCCTGCTGTATGACTAATAATGATAACACAGACATTGCGATTTGATGGGCTGTGTGTGTGTGCACCCTGCAGTTGGAGTGATGGAAAATCCAGCCAAATTTAAAATTCAATTGGTCCTATAAGCCACAACTTCATTACAGATCTGGGCAATTAGTTTCAATTTTCTTCATTGTAAGTTTAATAATGATGCCTAGGAGATTTTGTAAATGTGTTTTCAGGCTCCTTCATCCAATAAATTATGAAGTACTCTTGAGCTTAATTTTCCATCTCACCATTGTGATTGTGAGCTCTGATTTATTTTTTCTCAGTACTCAGAGACAATTATGTAGTAGAAGCACTGCAGGTATTAGAAATCTGAAATGTAAACAGAAAATGCTGGAAATACTCAGCAGTTTTGGCAGCGTCTGGGCGGTAGAAAGAAACAGAGATAGGTAAGCTTTGCACAGTTAAGAAGAAGAGCTCACATCTGGATTGAGGCACAGTCTGAGCGAGTATATATTTCTGGGATTTTGGAATTTGGGAATTCATTCATTCCCATTGTATTTAATGATTTTTTTCTAGCATGATTGATCAAAGTTGTATTAAAAATTGGCCCAGATCTTCCAATAACTGTGCAATCTGCAATATGTTTACCTTCTCTCTGCAACCTGCTTCCAATAGCAGTGAACGTTAAGACATTCACATCCCCTCTGTTCCCCCTCCCAAACCCTAGTTCATCCATCTCCCCTCATCCACCCGCAGAGGGGAGGAGGTGCTTTTTGCTTGCTTTTTTGGTTCATAGTTTGTAAGATCTTTTTAACAGGATAAATTGAACCTCGTGATTAGTGACATCACAGGAAAATCATAAATTCATCGGTTGGTAACTGCTGTTAATTTGAATATCTACAGCAAATTACCTTCAGATTAAACATAAATGGGAGAAGTATTTTACAGATGAAAAACTAAAAGATTAGGAGGAAATTTTAAATAAAAATAAGAGTTAAGTAAACAAAATAGTGATGCAAGGCTAAGCATAATTTGGGAGCTGATGGACCTAATTGTGGTTCATGGTGGCCACATATGTAGCAATTTCTTGAGGGATTCCAGATCAGCACTGATGTTCTGGAGTCTGAGCTTCAATGCATCTGGGAGGGGGAGTTACCGGGTCAGCGTGTTTCAGCGGTCATATCCCTTAGATTAATTTGGTTAGTGGTCAGGGACAAGAAGGTGTCATATTGTCAAGTAGTACCAAGGAAACATAGAAATGTATGGAAATCTTATAATAGACAAACTAAAACATTTTGTATCCTAACGCGTGAAGCATTTGGAATAAGGTAGATGAACCAATGGTGCAAATTGAAATAAATGAATATGATCTCATTAAAGCCATCAAAGAAACATTGTTACAAGGAGATCGAAACTGTGAACTTAACACTCAAGGATATTTGACCTGTTGGAAAGACAGGAGGGGAGGAAAAGGTGATAATGTAACACTCTTAATAAGAAATGAAATGAGGACAGTTGTGAGAGCTGATCTAGGCTTAGATGATGTAGAGTCTGTTTTGATCAAGGTAAATAACTGCAAGGGAAAGAAGACATTGATAAGAGTAGTGTATAGACACCCCCGAATCCAAGGCCGCACTGTAGGAAAGGGTATAAATTAAAAAATAATAGAAGCATGTACAAAGAATAGAGCAATTATTATGGGAGACTTTAACCTTTATGATGATTGGGTCAATAAAGTTGGAAAGGGTAAGTATGACAATGAATTCATACAGTGCATAAGGGATACTTTCCTGAAGCAGGAAACCAGGGGACAGGCTTTCCTAGATCTGGCAATGAGTAATGAGGCAAGTTTAATAATTGACCTCTATGTAAAAGATCCCTTAGGAAGCAGTGATCATAATATTTATTTTGAGTTGAGAAATTTGGATCAGAATCAACTGTGTTTAACATAAATAAATTTTACTTAAATAAATAAATAATGGGAATTACCGTGAAATGAGAATAGAGTAGCTAAAGTGGACTGCAGATAGATTAGCAGGAAAGACAGTACAAAAGGAAGTGGCAGACCTTAAAGGAGGTAATTCATGACACTTACCAAAATTATATCCAAGGAGGAAAGATTATAAGAGAGAGGGGTAAACCAACCATAGCTAACCAAGGAAGTTAAGGAGAGCATAAAGTTGAAAGATAAACCATACAAGGAGTCAAAAGTCAGTGATAGCCCCAAACAGCCAACATGGCTTCATGAAAGGGAAGTTGTGTCTAACTAATTTATTAGTGTTTTTTGAAGAACCCTCAACCAGAGTGGATAGAGGACAACCAGTAGATGTGTTATGTTTGAACTTATGAAGGCATTTGTCAAGGTACCACACAAAAGATTAAGTCATAAGATAACAGCTCATCATGTTGGCGATAGCATATAGGTGTGGATAGAGAATTGGCTAATGGGCAGGGAACAGTGAATGGGGATGAAGAGTTATTTTTCAGGTTGGTAACTTGTAACTAGTGGGGTTCCATAGTGACTGCAACTGTTTACAATACATATAAATGACTTGGAGGAAGGAAGCGAATGTACTGTAACCAGATTTTCAGATGATATAAAATAGGTGGAAAGGCAAGTTGCGAAAGGGATGCAAACAATTTTCAAAGAGGTATCGATAAGTTAAGTAAGTGGGCAAAATGTTGGCATATGGAATATAATGTGGGAAAGTGTGAAGTTGTTCATTTTAGTAGGAAGAACAAAATAAAGAAAAGCTGCAGAAATCCGCAACACAAAGGGACTTGGGAGTATTAATGCATGAAACATAGAAATCTAGCACACAAATGCAGCAGGTAATCAGGAAGACTGATGGAACATTGGCCTTTATTTTAAGGGAGTTGCAGTATAAGAGTGGGCAAGTCTTACTGTAACTGTAAAAGGCACTGGTGAGACCAGTTTTGGTCCCTTTATTTAAGGAAGGATATTGTTTAATTGGAGGCAGTTTAGAAAAGGTTCACTAGGATGATCCTGGGTATGGAGGGATAGTCTTATGAGCAAAGGATAAACAGGTCTGGGCTCTATTCACTTGAGTTTAAAAGAATGAGAGGAGATCTCTTTGAAACATTTAGGATTCTTTAGGAGCTTCACAGGGCAAATGCTAAAAGGATGTTTTCCCTCTTGGGAGAATAGAGAGCAAAGTCTTGGAATAAAGGGGGGCCAATTTAAGACTGAAATAAGAAGCAATTTCTTCTTTCAGATGGTTGGGAGTCTTTGGAATTTCTTGTCACAGAGACCTGTGGGGGTGGAGTCCTTGTGTATACTTAAGGTTGAGACAGATAGATTCTTGAAGAGTGGGGTAATCAAGGGTCATGGGAAAGGCAGGAAAGTGGATGTGAAGTATGTTGAATTAGCCATGATTCTATTTAATGGTGGAGCAGGCTCAAGGGGCTAAATGATGTATGCCTTTTCCTATTTCTTGTGGTCTTATGAAGTTCCTTTACTTGAAACATTGAGTGTGTTTCTCTCTCCATAGACGGTGCCAGATCTGCTGAGTATTTCCAGTATTATCTCCTCTTATTTGTGATTAATGCATCTATAAAGACATTCATAATAGTTCTGCTTTTTGAGTCTATTACTGAGAGCATGCAGTACTCCATCTCTTGTGATCATTATAGGTATGCATAGTTATGGGACACTTATTTTTGTTTAAATGGATAAAATATAGAAATATGGAAATTATTGTGTGCAAATTATTCTGAAAATTATTTTAAACATACCTGGAATCAATTGGAAGCCACAAATAAACTATCATTGAATGCCAACTTCGCCAAAATATGAATAAGGTATGAAAAGCATAACTGACTCGTCTCTTTCCTGTGCATTGATAAAAGCCTGATGGAGTTGATCTGTTTGTTTTTTGTAACAAGGTTTGAGGGAGGTAAATTAGTATTGTCGGCTGTTGAGATACATGATAAGGATAGATAATGACGACAATGTTGGGCAGCTTGGAGTGGAGTTTAATTTGGGCTGGAAAAGAGATGAAAGTATTGATAAAAATTGACTCGTACAAAGTAAGATGTTCTTACCTAACCAGCATTTGTCTATGCTTCTTTTCAGAATCCTGTAAGGTCAGTTTCTCCTTTTTCAGCTCTTCTATGGTTCGTTCACATTTACACTGTTTTAAAAACAGTACAAAACAACAACAGTATATAACAACAGTACAAAACATTGATCTCTGATATTATGAACAAACAGCAATTTTTAAAAAAGTTTCTCCTGGTAGTTGATTTGTTTCCCAACTTATATTTTTTTCCTGTCTGTATATCTACCTCTTTAGTTGCTCCCCAATCTATCTTTCTTTGTCTAAAACTGATTTTTATCCTTCACCATGTATGATAATAGAATATTCACAGATGTTATGGTATTCATGATGGCCAGAATTTTAACTACCTGGTTTCAGAAAGCATTCATCACATCCACTTTCCTGCCTTTCCCATGGCCCTTGATTACCTTACTCTTCAAGAATCTATCTGTCTCAACCTTAAATATACACAAGGACTCTACCCCCGCAGGTCTTTGTGGCAAGAAATTCTAAAGGCTGTTAAGTGTGTTGTGAGATCAGTATCTAGTACCTAACTTGCTTGAATCAACAGGCTTAAAAGAAGGCAGAAAAAAGTATGTTTTTTTTGTGTTAAAAGAACTGCTTGGGTGTGAGAAGGAACAAGAGATTCTGAGGTCTGCACAAAAACTTAGGGTTCATAGAAATTCTTTCGTTCCTCAGCATCGTCTCCAGCAATCAGACAATAAGTTGGGAGGGGTTCCATTAGACCCTCCCAGTTGTCTTTGATGGGAGAGGGTAGGTGGCAGAAAGAGTAAGTTCTAGACCTGGAGTTTCAAACTTCCTTTATGTAATGCAGAGGAGCAGTCTGATTAAACTTTTTGAACCTCTTCTCACCTCAGTTCTTCAATCCTCACAGGATTTTGTTGAAATTGTTTTCATGCCAAAATTATATCATTGGAGACTGTACACTTAAGAAAGGACCCCTAATTTCCAGGCAAGTATCACTCTCATCTGCTGGGATGAGTAGATTCAAATGACAATCTGGTGGAAAACATTGGGACTTCAAAAGGTTAGACCATTGGACAACCTTACTGCCCCTCCATCCGTTGCTGCTTGAAAGAAGGAATAAAAACCAACTTGCAAAAACTGACACCTTCACAGGTTTGGGGCCCCAATATTCAATGGTTCTAGAAATGTTTAACCGACATTGCATAATTTGCCCTCTGATTTTATTTTGTCTTGTAAATCATCTTCAAAAGAAGCATAAACTATTTTTTCCTGTTTTATATATGTTCTTTTGTATTTGTTGCTAATTTTTATTAAACTCAAACAAATAAATGTTACTGTTATGCGCATATTTCCTGACATTTTTAAATATTATTTATAAAATAAGAATGAGAAATTAGAAATTCAGAAGCACCTGCATATTCATTAGATCCCTTGCTTTCTGATCTTTCTCATCAGACCTGATCTGGGCAAGCCGGGCTAGGTTTATAACCTCTTCACGGGCACGTCTTTGTTCTGTGATGAGATTATCTTCTTCAAGCATACGTTTACGCAGTAAATTAACCTCTACCTCCGTCAATGAAAGCTGCATGTAAAGTTGGCAGTTAAATGGTCATATTTCAGAAGACAATGAAAGATTTTTTAATGAGAATTAAACACTTTACTGTATATTTTATGAGTTATTAATTCCATCATTGATCATTTTAAGTGCTAACAATATAAACTAAAGGCTGAATTCTTTGATTCTTTTGGCAACTTGTGTTTTTGGGAAGACCCATAGCCTGCTGAATGCCTCGGCCTATGAAAAGGTCTGTGCTTCAGCTCATTAATTATGCAAAAAGCCTCTATGGCATCCAGCTGGTGCAATCATGTGGCAGGAGTGGTGGACATGCTCGCTAGAAGTTTGAGATGTTCACGCCATTAGCGCCAATATGTAAATACAAGCTCCACAGCACTTCAGGATCTACAAGCCCAGAAGTAGCCAGAACTAAGCAAACATCCTGGAAAGGGAAGCTAGCAGCTCACTGCTGATAGAGACCTGCAGGTGCTGGTGGATGAAGTGGTTGAGGAGAGGGCAGCGCTGTTTCCTACAGGCTGCCAAAGGAGGTCTCGCCACCACCAGACGCAGCCAGCTAAGACAGAGATTGCAAGCCTGGGTCAATATGGTGTTCCAGGTTTAAAAAAAAACAGTTCTAAAAGAAGGTTAGTGACCTTCTGTGGTCCATAGGTCTAATACCACAACTTTCTCTCTGTTACCTCACACTACTAACTCTAATCCTGCCTCTGCACACACCTCTCACCAAGTCTCATGGACTACAAAGGTCACTGTTGTAGCATGTCCAGTGAATGGTTCTTTCTTACTTCATTCTCTCAAATGACTAACTCTTCTTACTCTCTGCACTTTTCAATCACTCACTGGAGAGACTTCATTACCACTCCTGCCCCTACATTGCCACTAATGCTTCTCCCATCCACTTACAATGTACTCAACCATCTCTTTATGTTATTGCAGGGAAATATAAACTGCCATAAGTGGATGGAGAAGGAGAAGGCTCATATTGGGATGGCAGATGTTAGCTCCTTACCCCATGTGAGGAGAAAATTAATGCTGGAGTTGGTAGCCAAAAGGCAACTGTTCACGTGGGGTTGCTGAGATCTCCATGAACAACCAACCAAATGAGTTTCAATATGCTGTGCTGCACTGCTTTTCATTTAACACCACTGCTAACTCGTAACAAGATTTTAGCCCTTTTTCACAAACAATTCCCTCACTTTTGTGCAAGTGCTGGTGGGACCCAGTGAACAGAGAAAGAGGTCAGCACTGCCTACCCTTAGCTCTATCTTCAACTTTCACAGCATGGACTGGAAAGACTTTCAACTGCACCTTCTATCAGCTCAGAGATCTTCACTCAGATCAGAGTCAGGAGCACAATCTGGTAAGTGCATTATTAGTACAGCTTTGCAGAAGCTGAGGAAGAAATGTCCTAGGTATCTATCACTCGGAGGACAGCCAAAGACAAAGCACCTATTCAGACCCAGGCAGAAGACGATCCCATGGTCTTGGCCATAAGTGGCTTCATCAAAATGCAGAAATGCTCAGGAACGACTGTCAAAGGCTATAAATGAACTGGATCGAAGGATGGACGAGTTCACCATTGGTAATGCAAGCATCTGGCTGCATCCATGGATAGGTTGGCTACTGCCATGGAGACTGACATCCAGCACACATAAGTTTTAAAATGTGGGTGCTGCATATCTGAAATAAAATGAGAAAATGCTGAGAAATTTAGTAGGTCTGGTCGCATCTGGGGCGACAGAAACAGTTAATATTTGAGTCTGGTATGACTCTTCTTCGGAAATAAGTTCAGATATGCATACCATCACTTTAGCCACTGGTGCTCAGCATTAATGGTACAGTGAGAGAGAGGAGAGGGACCTCAACCTCAAGTCAGATGCCCTTCCGCTCAGGGAGACAAGGTAGTGCTAGCAGGCACCCAGATGGAGGAGGAGCCATACTCCACACAGAAGCTTTCTCTCAGCTCACTCCAGAGATGTTTGTACCCCCCACCTCCCCAGTTTCTATGATGTCAATGCCTGTGAATTCTAAGCCTTCAGAGGAGTGTGACCCTGCATCTAGGTGGGGCATTCTCAGCAGGACGGGACCCTTAAGGCCAAATTCCCCCAAAGACAACCAGCTAAGCATTTCAGGCCAACTATAGAGCAGTCTTCCTTCACTCCAGATGCAGATGTCAGGACTGTATTTAGATGTAGTGCAAGAAAGAGGAAGAAAAAATCTTACAGTGGCCACATAGGTGCACAGGTGACACTTCATTTTAAATAATCCTGCACTTTTGTAAATATACATTCACTTACAGTCTTAAAATATCTGGTCTAGTCTCGTTATAGGTTTTGGACTTGATGAAGTCACACCCGTTTGAAATATGAGCAGCCTTTTCAGGCATCCCAAGGACAAAAGGCATTTAAGGACCAAATATTGTTCATTTCTCACAAGCAACTGACTCCTTGACTGCAGATAGTTGAGCTGTAGTGACAGGCTGAATTTAACAGTGTAATGACTTATTGGTGATAGTGCATTATAAATTAAGCTCCACTGTTTTCCTGAGGTATCACAAATGAGAAAGTTTGATTAAACCACTAAATTGTCTAATTCTATATAACTGTCTTTTTAGGTAAAAATAATATGCACATCTGGTGTTTTTTTTCCCATAACCAGTAAATAACAATTAATTGGAATTAAACATTTTTAATAAATGGAATAGAAACATGAATAGTTAATTTATAACTTTATAACTTAAACTCTACCCTTTTAAAAAAATCCATAAACATACAAACAGAAACTTGAAGACATGTAAGTCATTAGTATTATGGGTGGACAATAAACAAAAATTTGGGAAATCCAGTTCAATAGCATCAGTTCAGACTACAGGCATTAATGATTAAATTTCTTGTGGTTCCATTCACTTCCTTCTGACACTTTGCTGATGACAGACTGTAGATATTCCAATTCTCAGTCTTTCATTCACTGGTTGAGAATCTGCCTTTACAGTGTCTCTGAAGGTAGTTTTCTCTTTCTTCCTTCAGTAAGGGATTTGCAAAAAGCAGCTTATGGAGGAAAGGTGAGGCAAGGCAAATAGCTGGCTACTGGGAATTTTCTTTTACTTCTGCACGCATGCTTTCATTTTGTATGCTGAATGTTCCTGCTTATTGTCTACACAAAGGCATTACAGCCATTTGCTTAGGAATCAGTCAAGAAGTTGTTACTATGCTGGTTTTTTCTGAACCCACAATAACTAGTGCCATTTGAAAAGCCAATCAAAAGACCATGCCTGGGTAGAATTGCCCTGAATACTCATACAGGCAGTGCCTTTGTGGAAGATCTCCCTCATTGCTTGAATAAGGCAACATTGCAGACACAACTCATAATGTGTTCCAGTAAGTTGTTTATAAAACTGTAAACAACTTCTTACAGAGCTTTCCTGGTTCAATGCAGTACCTTCTCCCATTTTAGTCCACAGCCCTAAAAAAAAACAGTCTTTACAACAGTGAGCATTTAAATACTGTAAATTAACTTTGATGTTAAGTAACAATTTCTCAATTAAAGAAGTTGCTAAATACTTCTTGCGTTCAATAAGGCTATGTGCAGGATCTTGAATTTGGGGTTCATCCACTTTCATCTGCTTTCTTTCTCATTTTTCTTTTTACTTCAGCTTTTTTTCTCTTTTCTTTCATTTTTCCATTTGTTTCTCTTTTCTTTTAAAGCCTTCTGCGGTGGATTAATCAGCAGGATCGGCACAGCATCAAAAGCGGGTCATGGGCGGAAAGGTGGCAGCCTCCCAGCAGTCAGTAACAAAAACAGAAATTGCTGGAAAAGCTCAGCAGGTTTGGCAGCATCTGTGAAGAGAAATCAGAGTTGACATTTTGGGTCCAGTGTCCCTTCCTCAGAACTGATGGTAGCTAGGAAAATGTTGGTCTTTATGCAGAAGATATGGTGGGGAGAGGAGGTAAGGTGTAAACGATAGATGGAGATAGAGCTCAAAGAGAGAGAAGAACAGACAAAGGAGTGGATAACGATCTGGCTAGGAGGATGAATAGCTGTTAATGGAGACTGTTAGTGGCTAACAATAGGTAGTATGTAATAGCAGACTATGTGATAACAAAGCCTGGTGTGTCGGGGTGAAGGCTAGGACAAAGGAGAGTTCCATCCCCAAAGTTATTGAACTCAATATTGAGTCCAGAGGGCTGCAGAGTCCCTAAGCGGAAAATTAGGTGTTCTTCCAGCTTACTCTGAGCTTCACTGGAGCACTATGGCAAACCTGAGACAGAGATTATCCACTCCTTTGTCTGTCCAACAGTTCTATCTCTTTGAGCTCTATCCCCACCTATCCTTTATTCCTTAACCCCAACTCCCACCCTATCTTCTGCATATAAACGGACATTTTCCTAGCTACGATCAGTTCTGAGGAAGGATCACCAGACCTGAAATGTTAACTCTGATTTCTTGTCACAGATGCTGCCAGACCTGCTGAGCTTTTCCAGCAATTTCTGCTTTTGTTCTGATTTACAGCACCTGCAGTTCTTTCAAGCCCAGCGGTCAGTGGCAGCCATGGCAGACAAGACAGCAAGGACATCCTCCCATCATTCAGGGTGGTGGCAAAGCTTGTCCAGCGATTGAAGACGGCGACAGCAACAGACTTCTCAGGGTGGCAGCACCGGCAAGGTGACATCTCAGAGGAGGGCGGCTGGAATGGGACTCTTGGCAAGGCGTTGGTGACCTAGCCTGGTAGTGGGGCCAGGGATTCTTGGTTGTGCAGCTTGTGGATTCAGCATAGGATCTAGCGTCAGTGGCAGCAGCAGCAAAGTGGGCCCAGTGGTAAAGAAATGGCACGTAAAGAGTGACAACTCCTAGACGGGTGAGTCTGGCACAGGCAGCGATGAGGCGGTGGAGGAGAGATGGAGGTGCAGGTATCATTGGTGAGCCAGCTCAGACTCATGGTGGAGGTGGCAGAACAAGATAGATTCTTTCAGTGATATCTTTTTATTCTTAAACTATTCAAAATGATGACGAATTATGGCCACAGTTGAAGATTTTCACTGCATTTTATTGTATTATTCACTGTAAAATGCAAGCGACAATAAATCATTCAATTCGATTCAAATTCAAGTTGTTAAGAGCAAAATATGCATGAATGAAAATGTGCTGATTGGAAAGTATGAGTCTGTGCTTTTGTAAATAAGTGAAATGTTGAGCACACTTCAACCCTTCACCCTACTTAAGCTGTAGAATTCATTTTCCAAATATCTACGCCTATCCACCTTTCTTCATTTAAGCTAGACAATCAGATTTATGACATATCCTAATAACAATGCCTTAAATAGGTTTGGCTTTTGTGGTTGGTCATTGCTCAAAATTGCAACCCCCTTCACTATTGTGAGGTTGGTATGCATGCATCCAGCAAGGTGGCTATCACTGGACGGTCAACTCCATTCTCTGTCTCTCCCTAGACGTCCATGTTTCCCTTTTCTTGCAAGGAGAGGAAACAGAGAATTTTGAATTGGAAAGGATTATGTGAAGAGGGTGCAATGACAACATTTGTAGAGAGCTAATGTGCATACTCATGTAGGGAGGAGGTACCTGGAGTAAAAGAAATCAGTGAGATGCTTGTGGTGTTGGTCAGAAGGGTGCAGTGCAGGAGAATGCTCTCATAAGATCGTTGAACTTCTTTGAGTACTGTTTCCAAGTTCAAGGGACTGCAGTCCTGCTGCTCATTTTCTCAGCCACTTCCCTTGATACCAGCTTGGAAAGACTGGCTAGCTTGTCCTCGTGTCTGCAAGAGACAGCTTTTCATTTCAGTTTCTCAGATATCACAGTTGGACTTCCAGGATTGAGTCAAGGACAGGGGTGAAGGGTGGAGCCTTCTAATGTCTCCTTTCCATTCCTTTGGTTGTTGACTCCTCAGGAAACAATGTAGCATTCAATCATTCTGATCCTTGTCTGCATCTCTTATGTAGAAAAACTTCCTTCGATAGGGTGCTGGTCGTCATCACACCTTCAGTTAAAAAGCTATGGGAATGCCTGCTTCTCCAATAAACAGGTTGTAAACCCACTCTTCATGTAAACGTTTTTCCAATGAAATTCCACCAACACCATGTGGTTAGGAAAATAAACAAAATCAAGAACTTATCAATACCTGATTTTTACCTATGACAATTGCGACATTATCATTAGCAGAAAGACTGCAGGATTCGAGATAAAGGCCTATGACCACCTACTCTGCATTTAGGGAATGACAATAAATGTTGACTTGCCAATAATCATATCCTGAGAACAAATGTTAAAAATTGTGGCTTACCTGGTCTGCTAGTTTTCTTTTTAAACTTTTAACCTCACTTTCCAGTTCATTCCTCTTTTCCAAAAATGCTCCACCAATCGGAAACGTTTCTACCTATAGATACAAAAGATGAGCAAGCCACATGATCACAGTGAGGGAGACCTCATTGGAGTGAGACATAGTGAGTAACTGGGAATTTGGGTCAAAATGGTAATTTAGGGCAGAGAGGGAAAGAGGTGATTAATTAAGATTTACTCCAAAAAAATTCTTCAGAGTGAGAAGTGAGTGGGAGAGGAAATAAGACGTGGATAGAGAGGCTACCTGTACTGAGACCAATGGTGGTGTGATGTCACAAGTACAGGGAAAGCAACTGATTGTTGACACAAACAGAAATTGCTGGAAAGACTCAGCAGGTCTGGCAGCATCTATGGAGACCAAGCAGAGTTACCATTCTGGGTCCAGTGATCCTTTTTCACAGCTAATTGGTGAATTAGTTTCATCAGTATTTCCAATCTTTAACTTGAAAGTTGAGTATTTAGTTTGTGTTTAGGTCTCTTGACATTTTTTTTCTGTCTTTCTGAGAAGTAGTTTAAGTTGTCATACTAAGTCTATACTTGTTCTCAATAGTTTTAGGAGTTACAAAATGGCAGGTGAAAAGGGTCATGTGGAGTGTACATCCTGTGCTATGTGTGAACTCATGAACGTATCATATGGGCCAGGTAAAGACATCTGCAAGAAGTGCTTGAGCTCCAGGTTTTGGAACTTGAGCCTGGAGTAATTGTTGTGCATCTGCAAGACAGATTTTCAGAATACTTTTGATAAAGTCCCCCACAGGAGGCTGCTAAAAAGATTAAAATAACGTGGGATTGGAACTAATGTACTAGTATGGATTAATGATTGGCAAGCAAACAGATAACAGTAGGAACAAATGAAACATTTTCGCATTGGTGCGCTGTTGCTAGTGGGGTACTGCAAAAATCAGTTCTTGGGCCCCAGCTGTTTACAATATATATCGAAGATTTGGAGATGGACACCAAAGATAATATTTCTAAATTTGCTGACAGTAAGCGCATGTGTTATGAGGAAGATGTAAAGCAGCTTCAGGAGGATTAGGATAGGCTTAGTGAACGGGCAGAAACATTGTAGATACAATACAATATGGAAACATGTGAGGTTATGCAATTTGATAGGAGAAACAGATGTGAAGAGTATTTCTTAAATGGTAAGAGGTTAAAAAGTGTTAATGTACAAAGAGACCTAGGTGTCCTTGTCGAACTGAGAGCTAACTCGCAGATGCACCAAGCAATGAGGAAGACTAATGAAATGGTAACCTTTATTGCAAAGGATTTAAGTGCGGGGAGTAGTGAAGTCTTACTTCAATTCTATAGGAGCTTTGTTTGGCCATAGCTGGAGTACTGTGTTTTGGTCTTTTATCTCAGGAAAGGCATTATTGCTGAAGCAAAATGCAATGAAGATTAACCAAACTTATTCCCAGGATGGCAGGACGATCTATGAAGAGACATAGGGCAAGCTAGGCCTGTATTCTCTAGAGTTTCAGAGAATGAGAGGTAACCTCATTGAGACTTACAAAATAATTAAAGGGATAAACATGGCAAATGCAGGTAAAATGTTTCCTCAGGTTGGTGAGTCTACAACCAGATGTCACAATTTAAATATAAGGGGGATGTCACTTAGATCTAAGATAAGAAGTTTTCATTTACTCAGAGGATTGTGAACCTTTGGAATTCTCTAATGCAGAGAGTTGTGGAAGCTCAGAATTTGACTATGTTTAGGGCACAGATTGATTTCCAGTGGTGAAGAGGGAAATGGAAATAGTTGGGTCAAAAGCATTGAAGTATTTGATCAGCCATGGTTTTGAATGGTGGGACAGGCTTAATGAACTGAATTGCCTGCTTCTGTTGCTATGTTCTTAAAAATTGAAAAAGCATTCATGTGAGTTCAAGCATTGTCAATCATTAATTGCATGAAATCTGTGGCAGCTTTCCATCTCAAAGACAATGGTTTGTGCTGTGATAGTCAATTCTGTATTAAGCATCATCAACAGTCCTACCCTGGCATGAGAGTATGAACTAAATTCTTTTACTTTGAAGGTAGTTGCACAGATTGCAATGAACTAAATGAAACATACCTGTGTTTTAATTTTTTCATAGCTAAATTCAGCATATGCCAGTGCATCCATTGATGACTTCAGCTGTTTTTCTTTTTTCTTTGTCTTTCGGAGCTCTCGGTCCTTCTCTCTTTGTTTCACCACCACCGTGTCAGACAGTATTTTCTTTTCAGTATGGATGTAACGTAGATGCAAGTCCAGGGAAGCTCTGTTAACATCGAGTAAAAGAGTTACTGAACTGTTGTATTTGTTGATTGTTGTGGTCAAACTTCAATAAGGAGAATTAACCTAACAAAGAAATAAATTATTTAACATGGTCTAAGTTTAAAGGATTAAGTCTTACATTCAAATGCAAGTATAAGGGCTGAATTTCCATCTTTGTGGCAGAATCGGAAAACTTCCTGACTCAGTGCATTGCTTGCATATAAGCACTTGCAGAGACAAGATTTTCCTTATGGGGGCTAGGGAAAGGTGATGACTGTGGGTGTGGAACAAAGCTGCTTAAAAAGTCTATCTGGTGCTCAGGGACTTTGTGCTAGTTGTAACAAAAAACAGTAAGGCTCTCTATTTCTCACATCATGTACACTCCTCATGCCCCATCCACCCAGCCTCCCATGGTCCTCATACCATTCAAGTCAAAATATACCCCTCCACCCACACTCCTTTCCCTTTGGAATTTTTATCATATCTTTTTGTCACTACAGAGTATATAGTGAGTGATTGTATATGGAAATGCCATAGCCTGGCATGGAGGGTATGAGGGGCAAAATATGTGAATGAAGAGACCTCGCTTAGCATAGAGACTTGGATAAGACCTTTAAAACTTACTTTTCAAAAAGTTTCCTCATCCAGACTATCATTCACTGTGTCTCTGGGGTATCGTGAACCATGAATCCTTTAACCATGGCTCAACTCGTTGCAAATTGTGGAGGGCCAGGACAGCATATCCTTGCTTTGAAGCTGGCCCAGTCAGGAGTGCGGGATTGAGTTCATGACCTAAATCAATCTGCACCCTTAAATGGCATTGGTGAACATTGTGGGTGCTAAGAATGAAGTTGGGAATCCTGGAATCTGATCCCTGCTGCTATTTTTAACCCTACATGGACCCTCCCAGACTCCATGAAAATCCATCTCTAAATGTTTAGAAATTCCAGTTGATACTTTAAAATATAATGGTCATGTGAATAGACTTTAAATTCCAGATTTTAAATGCCAAATGTCTGAACGTTATTTTTTTAAAAATGCTATTATATGTTTTATTATGGTAATATGAAGAAGTTCATAAATATGTGCAAACATTCGATGCATTGATCCCATAAAATCTCATCATTAGCTTTTATGCAAAGGGTGAAAGACTGATGAAACAAATATTCGAGTCAAGATACCTGAATGAGAGTGGCTATTAAAGATCAGATTTCAGTTCTTCTAAATCATAACTTTTCTGTATATGGTTGCATCTCTTGTCTTATGGAACTATACTTGATTTGTTTTGAAGTGACATCTCAATGATGTAAAAACACTGTATAAATGCAAGTTTGTTTATCCTCAGGCTAAGGATGAAACATGAATGGTGAAATATAATTTTCTGAGCGACAATTCTGGATACTCTAAGCATCAACAATATGGAACAAGCTTGATCGACCAGGTGGGAATTTTTCAACTACTTTTGTGTATTCATACATTCTACAATAATCTCAGTTCCATATTGTGCAGTGCACTTTGTAAGGGTGCCATGTGAAAAACAATTGAAATGGACACATGTATAATTTACTGGCAAACAGATTAACAAATACAGGCATAAGCATCAACGCTGCCCACCTTCAGTTGCAGACATAATTTTCTTTAAAGAAGTTCCTTCCTGTTTTCTTTGAAAGTCCATGCACGAATGAAGCAGATCATATATCTGATTTTATTAGGTGCACTGGCACCAATGATTAACTTGCCTAAGAAGCAGGGGAAGTGACAGATTTAGGTTTGGAAACCCCCACCCTCTCAATATCCCTGGTCATGTTTGTAACAAGCAGAAACTTCTTCCCTAAAAAGGACACAGGAAACACCTGTTTTTAAGTGACAAATGAAAACAATGAGCATCTTTATATTAAAGAAAGATTGCTTCATCGATGTTCGATAAAGGAGGAGAAAAGTGCATTGTGAATAAAAAGGAATGGTAAAGAAAATGAAATTTTAAGACTTAAAAAAACATTGAGCAGGTCCCCCCAACTGCACCAGATCAGGAAGTGTTTCCCAGAAAGAAAAACAGGTGAGACCTGTTCTCTTAGTCATATTGAACTTGTTTTGTAAATACAAACATATTCCTGATGTCGTTATTATTACGGGTTGGAAAACATTTAGTGTTCAATACAAACCTTTGTCCCATTAATGTAGATTCATTTTCTTTGCCCAACTCAACCATCTTAACTAACTGGTTGTGTTCTTGCTCCTTGCTGTCCAGTAAAGTCCTTTTGTCATCCAACTCTTTCATTACCTCCAATTTCTCATCTTCGACCATTCTGCATTTATTTTCTATTTGCTGTACTGAACCAAGAAGTTCATTGTATTGTGCATCTATTTCAGCTTTTGCCTTCTCCAAATTGCTGAGTTAAGAAAAGAACAATACATTTTAATAAACAGCAACTGCAATATTTTGACCATGAATATATTTTTCACCATGAATGCAATGAATCATGTTAAATTTTATATCTTAATAAATCACTGGATAAATACATAAATATTTTGACATGGTACTTTGCAAGCTATCATTCACTGGTGACTTAAGAGATGGATGAGGAGAACAATGAAAAGTTTTCTTGTGTCAAATAGGATAAACTATGCAAAAGCATTTGCCTTTGCCACTGATTTTAATGTGAGGGGATCCAAATAAGTATGACCAATTTTGTTGACTTCCTGAATTGTAGTAAGAGTAGAAACAGCAATCAGAGTCTTTGTCATCTTCCAGTAGGAGGAAAGTAAACTGTGCCTTGGCTTTCACTGGTAACTCATGGTGCTGAATTAGAAGGTCAGTCATGATCTCATTGAATGGTGGAGCTGGCTTGAGAGATGAATGGCCTGCTCCTGCTCCTATTTCTTATGTTCTTATGAATTATGTTGAATATTGTGCAATCATCAGCAAACATTGCCACTTCTGACCTGATGATGAAGCAAAGATCTTTGATGAAGCAGCTGAACGGTTAAACCTAGGAAATTTGCCCGAGGAACTCCTGGAGCAATGTCTTGGGATTGAGATGATTGGCCCCGAACAACTACAACCTTTGAATCAGGCATGATTCCAGCTCTGAGGAAGGGTCACCGGAACCAAAACATTAACTCTGATTTCTCTTCATAGATGCTGCCAAACCTGCTCAGCTTTTCCAGCAATCTCTATTTTTGTTTCTGATTTACAGCATTCACAGTTCTATCAGTTTTTATGATTCCAACCTGTGCAGGTTTCCCTCTGATTTCCACTCTCTCCAGTTTTGCTAGGGTTCCTTGATACCACACTCGGTCAACTGCTGTCTTGGTGTCAAGGGCAGTCACTCTCACCTTTGGAGTTTGATTTTGTTTAACCATAGTTGGACTAAGGGCTGTAATCACGTCAGCAGCTGACAGTCAGTGAACAGGTTATCCTGAAGGGAACCACTTGTTATGATAAATTGTAATTCTAAGTTGCTGCAATTTTTGTCTACATTGTTGTAACTAACATCTGGAGTTAGAATTGCAAATCATTTCCTTTGCGCATAAAAGATGTTTTGAAATGTTAGCAATATGTGCTCAATGCACATTTAAAAATTTCTTGGAAGCTTCAAATCAGTTTTCAGAGAATGAGCAAAATTCAGAGAAATGCCTGTAGTCAATGAAATATAATTATATCATGGAACATACAACATTAGAACTGTACAGCACAGGAACATGATGCCAAATTAAACTAATCCTTTCTGCCTGCCCTTGGTCCATATCCTTCCATATCCTCTGCTACCTTCGTGCAATGTAGTTTATTATCACTTAAATGTAAATTGTAACTATTTGCTCACAAATTATAAAAGAAAACCTACTTTCTTTTGCGATTCAACTTCTGTATATCTTTGGCCAGTTGAACAGGAACAGTGTGTAATTGGACCAGATCAAGCTATGGACAGGAAAAATAAACACAAGTTGTCACTTATTATAAAATAGTTTATATGTGATTTGGACTTTGAAAATTGTTTGTTTCCTGTTATTCAGTGCTTGTTTGGTATTAAGCTGTTTAATTTTTAGAAAATTCACTTGTGGGACTTGGGCATCGCTGCATGGCCAGCATTTATTGCCTGTCCCTAGCTGCCCTTGAACTGAGTGGCCTGCTAGGCTATTTCCGAGGGAAATTGAGAGTCAACCACATCGCTTTGGATCTGGAGGCATATGTGGGTCAGCCCAGGTGAGAATGGCAGATTTCCTTTCCTGAAGGACATTAGTGAGCCAGAAACGTAGAAGATAGGAGCAGGAGAAGACCACCGCCCTTCGAGCCTGTTCCGCCATTCATCATGATCATGGCTGATCATCCAACTCAACAGCTTAATCCTGCTTTCTCCCCATAACCTTTGATCCCATTCACCCCAAGTGCTATAGCTAGCCGCCTCTTGAATACATTCAATGTTTTGGCATCAACTACTTCCTGTGGTAATGAATTCCACGGGCTCACCACTCTTTGTGTGAAGAAATATCTCCTCATCTCCGGAAATGGTCTACGCTGAATCCTCAGACTGTGACCCTTGGTTCTGGACAAACACACCATCAGGAACATCCTCCCTGCATCCACCCGGTCTAGTCCTGTTATAATTTTATAAGTCTCTATGAGATACCTCCTCATTCGTCTGAACTCCAGCGAAAACAATCACAACCTGGTCAATTTCTCATCATACATCAGTCTTGCAATTCCCGGAATCAGCCTTCGCTGCACTCCCTCGAGAGCAGGAGCATCCTTCCTTAGAAAAGGAGACTAAAACTGCACACAATATTCCAGATGTGGTTACACTGAGGCCCTGTATAACTGCAACAACAAATCCCTGCTCCTGTACTCGAAACATCCCGCAATGAAGGCCAACATACCATGTGCCTTCTTTACCACCTGCTGCACCTGCATGCTTACCTTCAGCAACTGGTGCACAAAGACACCCAGATCCCACTGCACACTCCCCTTTCCCAATTTACAGCCAGCCATTCAGGTAGTAATCTGCTGTCTTGTTTTTGCTTCCAAAGTGAATAACCTCACATTTATCCAAATTATACTGCATCTGCCATTGATTTTCCCACTCATCCAACCTGTCCAGATCATGCTGATGGATCTTTGCATCCTCGTCACAGTTCACCCTTCAACTCAACTTGATATAATCTGCAAACTTTGAAATGTTACATTTTCTTCCCTCATCCAAATCATTAATATATATTGTGAATAGCTGGGATCCCAGCACTGATCCCTGTGGCACCCCATTAGTTACTGCCTGTCAATTTGAAAGGACCAATTAATTCCTATTCTTTGTTTCCTCTCTGCCAGCCTATTTTCTATCCATCTCAGTACACTTCCCCCAATCCCATGTGCTTTAATCTTGCACAATAATCTTTCAAGCGGGACTTTGTCATAAACTTTCTGAAAGTCCGAATATACCACATTGACTGGCTCCCCCTTGTCAACTCTACTAGTTACATCTTCATAGAATTCCAACAGATTCATCAAGCATGATTTCCCCATCATAAATCCATGTCGACTCTGCCTGATCCTGCCACTGTTTTCTAAATGCTCTGCTGTAAAGTCCTTGAAAATGGATTCAAGAATTTTCCTCACTACTGATGCTTCAAGATAAGGAGTTTAGAGGGGATTTGACGAAAATGTTTTTCACCCAGAGGGTGGTGGGTATCTGGAACTTACTGACTAAAAAGGTGGTAGAGGTAAGATCTCTCAAGACATTTAAAAACTATTTTGATGAATACTTGAAACATGAAAGCATAGAAAGTCAAGTGTTAGAAAATGGGATTAGAACAAACAGATGTTTGATGGCCGGTGTGGACATGATGGGTCAAAAGGCCTCTTTCTGTGCTGTAAAACCTCTATGATTCTAAATATACATTTATTCAAAGAGTCGCTTTGTGCTTTCTCACTTTGAGGTGTTCTTCGTTTTCTTGCTTCTGTTCCAGTTCTTGTTGCAAGTTTTTCATATCTTCTGTTTTGCTTTCCAATTCTTCCTTTGTTGTTTTAATTTCACGTTTTCTCTGTGTAATCTCTCTACTTAGTTCAATACAACCTTCTCTCAATGCTTTTGTCTTCCTTTCAAAATCCTGCAAAGTCAGAAGAAAAATAAATCCAACAAAGGAAAACATTGCTCCAGGAATAAAATACACCTTTAATACAGTTAAAAGCTTTGTCAACAATATTTTTCTTCAATCAGGGTTAGGGGCCTCACTGGCTGGATAGGCACTTATTGACCATCACTAATTGCCCTGGTGAAAGTGGTGTTGAGTTGCCTTCTTGAACCACTATAGCCATTTGGTGTAGATTCGGTTAGTCTAATTCAGTTTCTAGTCAATGGTAACCCACATGAAGTTGATAGTGAGTGATTAAGCGATAGTAATACTATTTGAGGTTAAAGGAGTTAGATTCTGTCCTGTTGGAGATAGTCATTGCTTGGCACTTGTGTGGCATGAATATAACTTGCCATGTGTCAGCCTAAGCTTGCATAATGATCATGTTTTGCTGTATCTGAAGAGTCATGTGAAGAGTTGTGCTGAACATTGTGCGATCATCAGCAAAAATACCCATTTTTGACCTTTTGATGGAGGGAAGGTCATTGCTAAGCAGATGAAGATAGTTGGACCTAGGATACTACTTGAAGAACCCTGAAGAGATGTCCGAGCTGAGATAACTGGCCACCAACAACTGGAACTAAGACA